GCGGCTGTTGTGCGTGAAAGGCGGGGCGGTGCAGGGCTATGCATTGCAAGGCTTGGGTCGTTTTGCCGCTCGGCATGTTCAGAGCTGCGCCATTCCTGGTGCGGACTACAGAGAAGGTGTGTGCTTCTGCACGGATTTCTCGTCACAAGTCCAACACATCTGCTTGTAGCGGAGGGCGTTCACACGAGATGGCACAGCCGTTTCCGCCTGCTGCTCCCTCGCCGGCGACCTAACCAGAGGCTCTGAGCGTGGTCAATGATCGATGAACAATGAACGCTGTACGCGGAACGATGTTTCTCTGTAACTGCTGCAGTCGGGCTGACACATTCTAGGCTGGATGTTTCGGAAGCGTGACTGCCCCGGATGCTTGAGGATAACGGAAATTAAACAGGCGCTACAAGGTCATGTCCTTGTAAACGTTATATTCGCGAGGCAAATGGCTGTGCGCCGCGAGCTTACTCATTGGCCATGTGCATGAGGTGCGAGGCTGGGGAGGGGCGTAATCGCAGCTGCCGGAGTTTTCATATGGACGAGGCCAGTCGGCTGTAGTAAGGTACTTATACTATAGCTTAGTGCATGTGCATATATGCGACTGACGGTAAATTATCGAGGTGATAACAGCTGAGGAGTTGGCTGGAAAGGCGACATGAACATGTGTATTCGAGCTGGAAAACTGATAGCGCCGGTGTGCATTTTATTACGATGTTCTGGAAGAATTTAGACTCCAAGCAACATTGGGTGTGGCTGCATGGAAGGCGCAGCGGTGCAAATCTGTGCGAGGCCCGCTCGATCCACGGCACCTGCCGCTGAGTGACCTATGGATGTCGCTTATAGTGCTGAGGCGGTGCAGACTTCTGCGCACGTTTCCTGTCACTGCAAAAGTCCAGAGCATATGCTTGCGGTAAACGGCGCGCGTGTTTGGACGTTTATACGAGCTGTCAGAAGTTGACGTGTATTAAACGCCGCTGACGCCTGCTGCTCCCTCGCGGGCGAATGTCCACGAGGAGTGTGGCTGCGTGCTGCCGCGATATAGCGCCGCAGGTGCGTCGTCGTCCACCGTTCAGCCTCGTCCACCTCATCCACCGTCACATCCTCGCATCCTGCAGAATTCTATACATCTGCCCCGTCGACTTGGAAGATGTCACGCGCCACTGGAGCCCAATCTACCACCTGAAGTACTGTCACACATTCTCAAGTGTATCCTGCCAAGTTTAATCAATTCTGACTTGGGCAAACATCGCAAGTTGAAGCGCGGTCTCGCTGGGCCTGGCGTCGTATGCAGGCACTGATCCGAAGCCATCAGACCCATGCTCTTTCGATCACTCGAACTGCGCAGCGCCAAAGATGTACGGTTCCTCAAGGACATTGTCAGCAGCCCCGGATTTACCGCGTCATGCCTGTCCGAGTCCATCAAGTGGATATATATCCGCCAAGAAGCTACGGGAGCAAAGCCCTGGCTTCATCATGTCCATGGACTTTCAACTCGACTCCAGAATACAACATTCGTCTGTCTCGTCGAGAAACATGCAGACGATACTGCATCAACAGCCGGCCGTTGGGCCCCATTCGAGTCGATACCCACCGTCACTCCATCCTATGTCCGACTTTCCACTCTCACTCTTCGCAATGTTGTATTCACGAGCAAGACCGAGCTCGTACGGCTCGTCGACAATTTCCCCACGCTCGAATACTGCTTTTGCGAGCGACTCACCTTCCTTGACCCGTCACCGGCTGTCCGCCCACGCAGACTTCGCCGACGTCCTCCACCGGCCCGCCGCGCCTTCCGCTGTCGGATAGACGACTGTAAGGACATGGTGACTCCCATTCAAGTGGCACTTGCTGCAGATATCGTGGCGCCTGCCCGCCGCATGGGCCTTGATGACAGCACATGGGACACCACCTTTCACAGACTGCTTGCATTGGTACCAAATGAACCCGGAGACGCGTTTGTGTACGGCGTGTACGGCAATACGCTCGGTAGATGTTCTGATTCATGCAAAAAGTGCCAGGCTCACTGGTTATTCTTCATAAGGCATGGTGAAGATCTAATGTCGGTCATTCAGTCCAAATCAATCTATTCCTAACATCATCGGCGCTAGCGTTAGGGTTTGTCGTTCAAGTGTGGGCCAGGATGCGGGATCTCTATTCGCGCATATCGATAGCATTGCTCTCGAACTCCAATTTATCGACGTCGAAGTTGCAAACAACCTCGCTTGGGACGGCTTGCGACCCGTCATTGATTCCCCGCACATGCGCTGCCTTCGTATCGTTCATGGCGGGCCGGAATACCACGACTTTGTGGTCGCAAAGAGAATCTTGTGCTCTGTGTTGCGCCGCGCGCAGCTGACCTGGGCTCTCGAATCAGGCAAACTACAATTCGGGAGTCGCTGGTACGCGGAGAATTATGTTACGAGTGCAGACATTTTGTTGGTACCGACGGAGCACACCATCGACGGCATCATGATCACTCTCGACATCACCAAACAAGCCGAGTGGTTGCTGCGCCCGGTCCACTCTCGTTTCGAAAAGGAAAGAAAGGAAACCAGGGAGCATTACTTACAAAAGCTCGTAATGAACCGCACGAGTGGAGTATCCATGGACGCAGTCCCAGCGATCATACCGTCCACCGCAGATAGCGCTCAAGGCTCGGTGGTCGGGCAGATGTGGGAAGCGGCGGAGGGCGATGGGCCGGGAGACGAACAAGATGAGGAAAGACCGGCGTCAGTGACGACAGCATATAGGGGAGAAGGTGTAGGAAAAACATGGGCATTGAGCGCAGGTAGGATGTGTCGTCGACGGATCGTTGCGACTGCGCGGAAATTTGTCAATTTCATGGCTTCTGCCTCTCTCTGACTGTATTCACTCGGACGTTATGGCGGTAAATGTGTTCAAAAATTCAAACCGCATAGATGTAGGTTTAAACCGCAGATTCGTATCCAAAGTGTAACAAACCGAAGAATTGTAGTATTCCTGGCGATGATTTGTGTGACTGACTTGTGTTGACCGTAGATTCCTTGTTTGTAAGCACAATGTAAATCTTCTGTGCTGACCGGGTGCTTTTTTATTCAACCGGCATACCGTAAGCTTTCTGTCTCGACAGATAGATGGGGTACTTTTTACTTTTCACTTTATGCCGGATACTTTTGACTTTTGACTTTTGACTTTTTGCTCACCGGAATTTTCTTTTATGACGGAAAAGTTTCCAAAGTTGCCGTCTTCAATGCCTCAAGTCTCAGTAGGCCCGGCCCAGGATCAAAACCATACCAGAGCCAAAGAAAATTGTGCCGAAAATGATAAATTCAGTAAAATTTATTAGGAAGCTTATATACACTAGTACAAAGCAGAGCAGCCTATTGCAGCCAAATTCTATGCTTGGTCAGTGGT